ATTTTCCGAACTGCTATAATAAATCAAAAAGAAAAATGGAATTAGATTAATAGCAGTTTTTTAATGCTGTCGTGTAAAATTAGTAGGCGGGAAGATAAAATCGTTAATACCGCCAATATTTAGGTATAAAGTAGACATGCGCCAAAGCATAATTTTTTATCTGTTATGGATAGCACATTTAGATAGCATTGTTTTGAGAACAACTATTAAAAATCAATTTCTAATCTTTAAAATCTTAAACCCTAAACATGTTTAAACCCTAATCTCTAAACTCTAAACATAAACCTTAAAACTATAATCTTTTCATACGATAATCAGAAATCACATACTTAAACTCAAAGTTATTCCTTTTAATCTTAATCTTTAATTTCCAAAACACAAACCTTAAATATTTAGTTACCCTCTATACCCTAAACTTTGTACATAAACCTTATACTCCAAATTATAAATATAACCACTAACATATTGTATTCAACACTCTTACATTATCATACTTTAGCTCTAAATCCTAAATTGAAATTCAAAAAAAATCAGTCATTTTCAAAATTTAATCTCAAAATCTTAAAACCAACCCTTAACATTACACTTTAAACCCTAAACTCTACATACAATCATAATCTAAATGCTAATATAATAGTTTCATATCTACTCCAAACCTTGAAATAACTATCAACTTATTATTTTCAAAAAAAAAAAGTCAAATCTTACCCTAACTCTATAGTATAAACCTAAACACTAAAATTGATACTTTCAAACTTAAACTCTAAACTCTAAGTTCATAACTCCAAAACATGAATTTTCTATTCTAAACTCTAAATTCTATACTATAAACATAAACTTAAAAATNACTCCAAACCTTGAAATAACTATCAACTTATTATTTTCAAAAAAAAAAAGTCAAATCTTACCCTAACTCTATAGTATAAACCTAAACACTAAAATTGATACTTTCAAACTTAAACTCTAAACTCTAAGTTCATAACTCCAAAACATGAATTTTCTATTCTAAACTCTAAATTCTATACTATAAACATAAACTTAAAAATTCTAAATTTATGTTTTTAAAATTTCAATCTCAAACATTAGTTCTACATTAACTAAATTTATTAGTTTTCCTAAGCTATTAACTAAATTACAATATTAATCCGGTAAACCTACAAAAAATACTTATAAATGAATATCTTGATAACCACCCACTTTAAAATTGAAAGGCCAATGATTTGCAATGGCGTGGATCACCATCATGTAACTATCACCATCAGATCAACAAAATCTAACGGACACAATTGTTTAGCTTTTTATTTTATTTTTTATTTTTTATTTTTTATTGTTTCCCTTCTCCCTACGACATCTTCACTCTTCCTCTGTCGCCTCCTCTCATCCTCACGAGTTCTTTGTCTGCTCCTCTTCTCCTCTCTCATCTTTCTCGATTCTGTTCCTCTTCTTCTCTTATCCACTAATGAAAAATTCACAGACATAGCAAGCATCAATATCCATCTGTGAGATTCAAATCTGTTTGTAAATTTATTAATGTTGTTTTTCAGATCTGAGAAAGTGGAGTAACGAACGACGGTGTGACGAACTTGATGAACCGGAAGTGGTGGCATCACGAATCTGGCTTGATGAACCGGAGGTGGTGACGGACTCGTAACGAGTGGTGCAGCTTCTTCATCTCGTAAAGAAGAGGAGAGAAGATGAAGAACAGACCGAGACAGAGAGAAGAGGACGATGCAGAGGAATAAGCAACAACAGTGCAGCTTCTCCTCAGCATCTCACACCCCCACGAAGGCAGAGGTGGTGGCGGCTATGCGGCAGAGGAGACAGAATGGAGGAGTTAGGAGGCGGAGGAGTTAGGGTTTTTTTTAGTTTTTTTCAGTTTTTGTTTCTAAACCGGGTTTATAATTAAACCGGTTTAATTTGTAAACCAAATTATTTGTAAACCAGTTTTAATTTATAAAAAATATTTTATTTTTAATTTTGAACCACTTTCGATTAAATTTTTAATTATTTTTTTTAATTATTTTTATTTTCAACTAATAATAGCAAAGTGTAAAAACAGTTATCTTAATGTTATACTACAACAGCTTTTACAAAAATGCTATAATATAAGGGAGATTTAAGATAGCTGGGGCATANTAAACCAGTTTTAATTTATAAAAAATATTTTATTTTTAATTTTGAACCACTTTCGATTAAATTTTTAATTATTTTTTTTAATTATTTTTATTTTCAACTAATAATAGCAAAGTGTAAAAACAGTTATCTTAATGTTATACTACAACAGCTTTTACAAAAATGCTATAATATAAGGGAGATTTAAGATAGCTGGGGCATATATAGCGCTTTCAATAATGCTAACAAAAGTATATGATAGCTGTTTTCTTTCGCTAAGAATGAACATTTTTCTTGTAGTGTCTTTGTTGGAGGATGCATGAATGTCATCTAGAACTCGTCTGACAGGGTCTTCCTCCTTAGACTTCGATCCTTCAGAAGACGTTTCCTGGTCATCTCCAGCATGAGATGCTTCCGTATTGTCCTTGTCCTTTTGCCTGGTGGAAGTTGGTAAATCCTTTGGGGGATATCATGTTCAGTTGGAATTGATGAGGAAGACTTTCCCAAACACTCAATGATGGCCCTGATGACTTCCTTCTCCAATGATTGCATGTAGTTGACAACATCACTGTTAAGTCTCCGCTCAACTCCCATAAAACTGGCGGACACCTTCTTCTCAACAGCATCTGCAATTTTATACTCCATAGAAACGATGTCGCCACACAACTTCTCAGATATTAGATTTGCTAACGGTTCAATCATGCCTTGCCCAATACCGGCAAACTCAGATGTCTCCCCCAAAGTTTCTTTGTCATGTTTATCCTTGGCCTCCTTCTCCCTTTGCTTGTCAACCTTTGGTCTTGAAAGATCATCGGAGAAAATGCCACCGTGGAACATATCATTATTGAAAACAAACTCATCATTAATGAGCTTCGCCAGCGTGTCCACAGCAGGGTCCTCGCATTCATCAACCCAAAAAAATTCATGCTGAGAATGCCACTCCTCCTCTGGGTCATCAAGAATAGATCGAACAGACACCTGTAAATACGTGTTAAACACAAACGCTAAAGGTTAACTGATACATTAACGACTACTATAGAATTAATCGGAAAGTCCAGACGGAACAATTACGTGTATGCTCTAACAATGGAAAATAAGGTAGAGATAAGCTTGAGGGTTCCGAAAAACTAGCGTTAAGTGTTCTCATGTCTGATCGATAGATGGGAACAACATCAAGCAGCAGAATGAAATAGTGTTACCTACTCTGATGGATGTTAACTAATTGGTTAGCACCTACTAATGCCGGTAACTGCTAAGTTATATTAACAAGTACTTATGAGGCATATGGATGTCAAACATGGCATTCCGCGTTGAGGTCCCTGGCATTTTTGGGATTAACGATAAATCTCGCGGAGGAGTTAACCTTCTCCAAACTTCCAGAGTCATCTCCACTCACTTGTTCCTCCTCAGCAGGCATCTCGCTCTCACTCTCCGATTCAACAACAACAATAGGGGCAGTCGTGATGAATTCTTCTTTCAAAGTAGGGACAGCAACAATCATGACAAGTTGTATAGCTTCCACATAACCTCTTAGTGCAAAAAAGTTTTGAGCAAGCGCAAGAGCATCCTTCTTAGTTAAGGTTGTCGTTACCAGTTGAAAAGAAATCCGTCCCCATGAATAAGCAAGAAACTCACAATTTTCCTAATTAACTCAACATGTTCAGGAACAATCTTCGGACAATGAGAAGATGGGTAGGACTGAAGCAGTAATTGCTAAACAAGAAAATTTAATCATGGTGTTTCTATCTTTCACCTTGCGGGTCTTGAGCATGTCAATAACAGTATCCACAAAACACGATTTAAGAGAGCCAAACATCTCGTTTCAATAGAGTTTCTCTTTGAGAGGATTTTTTCTTCTTTTCCGTGTCTGATTAGGAATCCTATTGCAGGTAAGACCAGTAACAATAGCGAACTCCCTAAGGGAGATTCTAATTGGTCTTCCGGCGAAAACCAACCATATCGCGTACTTCTTCTTCTCCTTCAGCATCCTCACCAAAGTGAAATGACCGAAAGCACCAGAAAAATGTGGATTCTCTTCTAAAACGAGAACCTTAGAAAACTGGGAATTTTTAAAGAACTCCATCTCTTCCTTGTCTAGAGATTTAATAAGCGACTATGTTCTCTGAGTCCTGTGATACGAGTTGACTCGTTCACCGGTTGGTTCATCACCACATGAGAATATACGCAGAGGAAGTATTGGATCGTCCATTACAAACTCGAAAAGAAAAAAAGGAATTAGACGGTTGTTTTCGTTTGAGATTTACAGTTTTTTTTTTACAAGTAAAAAGAGGAAACTAAATATCAGTTTCATGTTCTGAAATATAAGAGATTAATAGAGAAAAATGATAAACTTAATTTAAAATTCAAATTTGGACGGTTAAAACATAAATATGTTTTATTGTTTACAGGAAAGTTGTCTGCTACAATGCAGGCGTGGTTCTACGGACAGAGGTCTATGAGAGTAGGATGAGAGAGAAGAAGGGGTATTTTCTTCAGAGAAATGGAAGGCGTCAAATCATGGGTAAACCACAAAATAGAAGATCGATTTAGAATATGGGAGCAAATAATCTCTCGTTAAAAAAGTGATCAAAACAAAAGATAAATAGATTTCCACCGATATTAATTTAATTGAACTTACGTTTAAATTAGAACCGTGTTTTTCTTACTCGTGTCTACCTTCTGTTAAACGCCAAAGTCTTTGACCCAAAAAAAGAAAACAAACGGTACAAACGATAAGTGGATCATTCCCACCATTTTCTTACTTTTAAATGAAAAGAACACCTCTGCTTCTGTCTTCACTGCCACCATCTCTCTTTGGTTTGTGAACGCTTCTTTATGTTTTTTTCTTGAGAAATTGGAAGAAGATAGGAAGATTGTTTTACCTTCTAATGGATTGGTCAGATGAAGAGGGAGAGATTCTACCTGACTACGTTGATGAATACTATTTCGTTGATCAAAGTGACATACCTGTCAATTTTTCCGTTCTTCCGACCAAATGGGACGACGACAAAGATACAACTGGTAGCTCCAGAAGGACTGTGTACCTGCGTGGCAACAGTGATTGTGGAAACGAGCCAGTTTGTAAGCTTGCCAAAGCGTGGACGTTTGATCTTTCTGAGCAACATGCCAAGATCGAAGTGCTTCTACATGGGATGCGCTGGATAACTCTACTAAAACCAGCAAAGAGTTATGAAGCTTTAGTTAGAACAACTCTGGTTACGCTTCAGTGTCTTCACTTTGTTAAAAGGAATCCGGAGGCATCTAGTGATGATGTATGGAACAGTTTACACAAACTGGATGGGTATGTGTTGATGTTCATTCAGTTTACGTTTATGCGATTTTTTTCTATATCATCTTTGAACCAATCTTGTTGTTTATACAGGATCCAACCTTCAGAGCATGACTTATCAGACAATGTTTCTCTGGTGTGTCAAGCTATGAAAATGGATGAGGGTTTAACAAAATCAAAGGTCTTTTCTAATCTTCCTTGGAAGGAACTTCCAACGCAACATCAAGAAGATGCTCAGACACTAAAGGAAGAGAGTTTCATTGTTGATGATATGTTAGACGCGGAAAACAGCAGCTATGATGATTATGAGACGAACTTGCAGTGTGATACAGTCTGTTCTATTTGTGACAATGGTGCTTATACTCGGTGGTATGTCAAACTTCACAATTGTGTAGATGCTATTTTAGAGCTCCTCATAAGCTGCAACTACTTAATTTAATTTCTTTGTTTGAGCTCAGTTGTGAAGGACGCTGCTTGAGAGCTTTCCATACAACCATAGCTGATGGAGTTGATACATCGTGTGAATCACTTGGATTCCAGGAGACTCGTGTTCATGTACTATGAATGATCTTTAGATTTTCTATTTAATATGCTATTACCGTTGGGACTTCATCCTAATGTTAATTTGCTGAATATGTAGGCACCTAGAGAATATTTCTGTAACAACTGTCTATACAAACAGCATCAGTGCTATGCTTGTGGCCAATTGGGATCATCTGATGAAAATTCCTCTCAAGAGGTATTATAGCCTTGCACTATATATCATTCTTTATTTGGATACTAAGAAGGCTATTAGATAACTTAAAATCTTCAATTTGGATTCAAAACTGTTTACTTCTTCGAAGGTCTTCCCTTGTTCCGCCTCAAATTGCGGTCATTTCTATCATCCACTATGTGTTGCAAAGCTTCTCCACGTTGGTGATCAAACCAAAACAGAAGAACTTCAAGCCAGTATTTCTGCTAAAGATCCCTTTTTCTGTCCTCTACACATATGCAAAGTCTGTAAGAAAATTGAAAACAAAAAGGTACATGCATTGCATTTCGCTGTATGCAGACGCTGCCCAACGGCTTATCACAGAAACTGTTTACCTAGGTAAACCATTTGACTTTTTTCCTTCATCATATCCAAGGGCAATTTTGTATATCATTTTCAATTCTTTTTGCTTTCGTTTTTTCAATTGTATTCAGGGAGATTACTTCTGAGCTCAACTGTGACGAGGAAACACCTCGAAGGACCTGGGAAAAACTGCTTCCATACAATCGCATTCTTATATACTGTTTGTAAGTTTTTGAATATTCTGAGTGCATTTTAAAGCAGGTTTTGATGTCATGATCTGCGCAATGTACATATATTTTTGAACAGGAACCATGAGATAGTAGGTGATCTTGGTACTCCAGCTAGAGACCACTTGGTTTTTCCTGATAGATCTGGCCTAAGAAGAACACTAAGTCATGGTCTTGAACCTGTCAAAGAGGATGCTATGGCGACGGGTTCTAAGTATGTATTTAGTGGATCTAGGCAAACAAGGATGAAAGTTAAGGCCAATGACTATCGTATTAAACGGAGGAGGGAGAGCACTGAAAAAAGGTTGTCGAAAGAAGAAGGTCATTCTGACGAAATAGACGACGACGAGTATTTGGAATCAAAGTGATGTTCTCTCTTTCCACTCAACAATGAAACAACAAGTTATTATGGTGTCAACTAATCATTTTTTTTTTTCCGGGTTACACAGGATGTTATCTATAATTGACGAAGTGAAATCTTCGTTTAGTTTTGATGACTTTGTTAAGTCTCATGGGAAATCCTATATACAATACCAGTCAAGAAATGATATCGACATGAACATCACAGCAGAAATGGTTGAAAGTCATGTCAATGTATGTCACTGTGGTTCTTACGTGAAACAAGGGTATGATATTTAGTTAGCAGTGTCAGCTCCCTAAATCCTAATTAACGTCTGTTTTTGCAGGCCGCTCGAGCTGCATCATATATGTTTGAAGAAGGGCGGGACGAAGAGGCTAGAGCAATATTTGGTCCAGATCGTCTAGACCAACTCATGGAGCATAAGGTTTTTAACCAACTTTAATTTTCATAATCCTTTTTCATCATCTAAGAGTTTGCTCAGTCATGTTTGTTGAACTGCAGAGGAAGCTTAAACATGATCTTGATCCTTTTCTCCATGGAACGCGGTACACATCGTTTGGTCGTCACTTCACAAAGCTAGAGAAGCTTGAAGAGGTGAACTAACTATCTCTCTTTTTTGTTTTCTTAGCATTTTATTATAGTATTATCTGTTAAAGTCTACCGGTTTAGAGATACTTACTTGAAACTAATGATGCAGATTGTAGAGAGGCTCCACTGTTACGTACGAAATGGAGATACAATAGTGGACTTCTGTTGTGGCTCTAACGATTTAAGTTGTTTGATGAAAGAAAAGCTTGAAAAAACGGGGAAATCTTGCTTCTTCAAGAACTTTGATCTCATTCTACCTAAGGTACAACACTCACTTTTTTGCTTTTTTTTTTTTTTTTTTTGGTGTGTGTGTTGTTTCTGAAACATGACGGGCATGGCAGAATACTTTCAACTTTGAGCAGAGAGATTGGCTGAGTGTGAAGAAAGAAGAGTTACCTGACGGCTCCCGACTGGTATTAAAAAAATCAAACAACATCCTGAACTTGAGATGCACTTCTTCACTAAGATCTTTTTCTTTTGATGTTATGGATAAGAACAGATAATGGGACTGAGCCCGCCTTTCGGTTTCAAATCCGAGCTTGCTAACACTTTCATCGTGAAGGCCCTCGAGTTTAATCCAAAGATTCTGATCCTCATCGTACCAAGTGAAACAGAAAGGTAAATAGAGCAAATCCAGAGTTTCAATAACAAACGATTCTTAACTCTGACTTTATCTATTACAATCAGGGTCGATAAGATAGCTAATTATGATTTGATTTGGGAGGACACCAATCTGGTTTCAGGAAAGGTATGTACGATGTTTAAAATATGAATCCAACTCTCTGTTTATTATACTAATAGCTTGCGGTCACACTCTGTTTTTGGTCTGTTATAGTCTTTCTACTTGCCCGGGTCCATAGATGTGAATAACAAAACGATAGAGCACCGGAACAAGAGAACGCCACCTCTGTACCTTTGGAGCCGAAAGGACTGGACTTGGAGCCACAAGACTATAGCGGTTCAACAGGGTCACATAACACACAAGAATCACTCAACTTACGTAGTGGGTCTCCATCACTCAGAGATTCCTCATGATGATGGTATGGTACAAGACATGGAGATATATCTCTTATTGACTAATCTTTTGAAGTTAATGACTATACTATTCCACTTGGAATTTATACCATAACAACACTAAGGAATCCCTACAATGGTTTGGTATAGTTCGATTTCTCTTAATCCATTCATGACATGGTATTTTTGTTTTTTTTCATTAGCAGTAGTTGAGGGTACATCTATATATGTGGGAAATCTTCCTGAAAATGCCAACATTGACATGCTTGAAACTGAATTCAAGAAATTTGGAGCTATTGGCAACAGTGGGATTCAAGTTGTAAGAAAAAAGGTAAGAACTAACAATTCAGCATCGGCATGCAGTTTGAGTAGTCCCTTTTGCCCGGTGGATGAAGAAACACTGATTTTCTTTATCCTTAAAGACTGATTGTTTACTGTATGACTTGGTAGGGCTCTGGTTATACTTGCGGTTTTGTTGAGTTTAGAGACGCAGATGCTGCCCAGAAAGCAATAGAGGTACACACAATCTGAGCAATGAGAATCCTAAACATATAAAATTATATTAACATCTCCATGATACAGGCTTCATCTCTGATGATCGGTGGAGAGAAAGCTTTCGTGAAAGAGAAGCGATCTACAGCAAGAGGTGAGCAATAAAAACTTTGATGAATAGTTATTATGAGGAGAAGAGGATGATTTTGTTTGTTTGCTTGAGTAACAGGTAACAGGGGAAGTGGATATGGAAATAGAAATGTGGGAGGAGGAGGACGTTATAGATATGGCAACAATTACAATAGGGGACGAGGAGGACGTTATAGATATGGGAACAATTACAATAGGGGAAGAGAAGGATCTTTTAATCGCCGAGGCGGCTACGAATACCGGAAACCAGACAACAACCCATACTAAACCGGATTCGGCTTTTGTGGCGGATGATCTAAATGATTAATTGAACGGAGACCAGACATCTCGCTTTGGCCTGATATAGTATATATTTATATTTTTATGTTATATAGTTTTGAATATGATGATATGTGTTCCCAAAAACATATGAGCTTTGCGAATTTGTTGATATATAACTGTTAGTTTCATGTTCCAACCTAATTATCAACTCACCCATCTAACATCTCTCTAGTGTCTTTAAAAAGTAGAAATCAGTTTCGGTGGCCGCCACCTCCTCTGTTTTTGTTTTGTTATATATTGTCTCCGTTCTTTTGTCATTGATCGTTCTGATCGAAACAAGTTTCCGCTGCGGATATAGTCTCGTGAATCCCAATTCGAAGCTGTTCTTTATGTGTTCCATATATTCTTCGATTGGTGTTGATATAAATAAAAATCCGATATTTTCTCTTTTTGATCGGATTTTAAGTCAATCATCAACCTTTCACTATATTCTAATTTAAATACCGATAGATACTGTTCAGATGTCTTTTTCACCGTCACTTTAATTTTCTTCTCAGGAGAATCAGTCTCTACTTCTTAGTTTACCCATTATATAAGGCACTTTACGTTCATCCAAGGAGGAAAGATTGTAGCCATCAGCCTGAATCTTCTCCCAAACACTCTCCAGCCAAAAACAAGGAGGAGCTCTATTAGATGAAGCACGCAAGAATGGTCGAGGAACAATCTTAAGTTATTCGCAGCAAATGTCAACGTGGTCGAAAAACTGCTGACGACCCAACTGAGATTCGCGATCTCCACAATTATATCACAAAAACGGCCGCAGCGATAAAAGCAGTGAAGTCTCGAATTCACCATGTCACTAGCACCGCACCTGAAAAAGATCGATTGTTGTACGGATCTCGAAAAACACCTTTTACGGCTCGTATCACCGAGATCAAGCTATCTGATCCCAGAAAGCTCAAAGTGCCGACTTATGATGGGACGACTGATCCTAAAGCGCACCTGCAAGCCTTCCAGATCACAATGGGGCGAGCCAAGCTCAAGGAAAGCAGAAAGAACGCGGGCTACTGCCGTTTATTCCTCAAAAATCTAGAAGGGGCAGCGCTCGAATGGTTCTCTCGACTTAAGGGGAATTTGATCGGAAGTTTCCGCCAGCTTGCCTCGAAGTTTCTGAAGCAGTACTCATGTTCATAAACCGACAGACTTCTGATGCCGACCTCTGGAGTCTATCCCAGAAGGAAGACGAACCTCTCCGCGACTTCATGAGTAAGTTCAAACTCATCATGGCTAGGGTTAGCGGAATAAGCAACAGAGCAGTCATCGACGCGCTAAGAAAGTCGCTCTAGTTCAAATTGAAATTCAGAAAGTGGATAACTCTCGAGAAGCCATGTACGATCCAGTACGCGCTCCAGAAAGCTACCGATAACATTATCAAAGAGGAGACAAAAATCCTGGCGGAATAGCATAAACCGACAAAGACGCCGCGTCGAGCAAAAGCCGAAAAGGAAAAACCCTCATAACGACAAGTATGTCCATCACAAGGGACAAGATCTCCTAGGGGCGCACAACTACGCCATCAACTCTAGATCGGAGCAAGGGTGAACTGCAAAGTTCTCGGCGCAAGGTTGGCCGCAAAATATCTCATGGGGGAACTCCCTCAACCGCGATTCGGACTGCCCTCTTAAAACCAATAAGAACTCGCATGCAGACACTTCGCCTCGAAGGAACCAAACAGACGATAAACGCGGACGAATACAAGACGAGAGAGGGAATGATGCTAACCGCCGAAGAGACAACATGATCATCGATGAACCACAGCACTACAGCGATACCATCTCGTCCATCAAGTCCTACCAACGAAAAGCCGAAACAGGTTCGAGCTGGCCGACACCGTCGGACAATGCCCAAGAGGAGAAATCGCCTTCAAGTAGGCAGAAACTTCCGGCATCGACCATCCGCTTGCCGATCCTCTCGTCATCGACCTAGTCATAAGCGATTTAGAGGTCCCCCGAATTATAGTTGATACCGGAAGCACCGTCAACGTGATCATCCGCGACACTTTGACGCGAATGGGAATCGGATTAACGGAGATCGAACCGACACCAAAGCCGCTGACCAGTTTTTCTAGAGAAACGGCTATGACTCTATGATCAATCTGACTCCCGGTGGCCGCAACAGAAGTCACCAAGATCGTTAACTTCGCAGTCGTCGATCATCCGGTCATCTACAATGTAATCATGAGCATGCCTTACAATGTAATCATGAGCACGCCATGAAGGCAGTCCCGTCGACGTACCACTTAGACATCAAGTTTCTGACTCCTACGGGAGTCGCAGCAATTTGGGGATGCCAAAGACAGTTGCGGTCTTGTTTTTTAGCGGAACATAAGCTAAGGCAAATGGATATCGCCATCTTAAAAAAAAAACGGATGAAATCAACTCCACCGACCGCGGAAAAAGACCCCGAATCGGCAAGCCCTGCAACGGTCGTGAAGCAACAAGTTTCCGAAC